GGCCTTCCTTATGGTCCAACTCTCGCAGCCATACATGACTACTGGGAATACCATTGCTTTGACCATGTGGACTTTTGTTGGCAGGGTGAAGTCTCTACTTTTTATTATGTAGTCTAGGTTTGCCATCGCTTTCCTCCCAAGGAGCAGGCGTCTTTTAATTTCATGGGTTGCCATAAGTTGCCTGAAACTTGACGGCGATTCCCACCACTATTGGTGCTGCAAATTCCGCATTAGAGGCTCTGATTCCATTGTATGAAGGGTCAGAGTTCCCTCAGAGTTCTCTGCAGACTGGAAAATAACATCTGGAAAGCATAGGGTTGTCCTGTCCCCAAACGGGGAACTCTGCTTGCTTTTGACGGTAAAGAAAATATCTCGAAGGGTAACCTTAGTCTCCTACAGCAGGAACATGTGGTGCTCGGAGATAACAAAACCTCCCTCTCTGCAGGAGACCCATTTCACTGTGGCTTATGGACGAGGCGTCAGGGACCACAACACTTTAGGTTCAAAACAGCCTTCACGTGAGACAGGGCAAAGAGTGTTAGATTGTATTCCAGGGACATTTTTTTAAAAAAGGTGTCTTTGCACCAATTGTGTTCAGAACTACATTTCCTGCTTCCCACCCAGCCGCCACCTTAAGGACAACCAATAAAGTTAGTCAGAGCTTTAGTCCAAGGGATTTTGCGATGTACCTGTAGAAATAGATAAAATTTTGTGGTGTGTTGAAGGGAAATATATAACATTATGTTATAAGTTGTTAGGTGTAGAAATAATATAGGAACATATTATCATATATGGTGGCGATGCGAGAAGATACAGAAATTTTGGAAAAGCATTAAGCTTCTAATAAAAGAGATCATGGAGATAGAATTACCGCTGTTGCCAGAAATATACCTGCTTAATATAACACCAGATGGAATTAAGCATAATGAATTGTGTATCATATTATATATACTCACAATATCGAGGATCCTTGTTGCAAAGTGCTGGAAAACGGATAAAATACAGAGTAGAGAGGAAATAATTATGAAAATTTTTGAGATAGCAGAAATGGATAAACTGAATATGTTATCAGGAAAAGCAGAAAGCAAGTTTAAACAAAAATGGCAAAAAGTTAACTCTTGAGAAACCTGTATAAGGGTCAAGAAGCAAGTTAGAACCGGATATGGAACAACTGATTGGTTTAGCATAGGAAAAGGAATACGACAAGGATGTATATTGTCACCTTGCTTATTTAATATATATGCAGAGTACATCATGCGAAATGCTGGCCTGGATGAATCACAAGCGGGAATTAAGATAGTTGGGGAAAAGATCAACAACCTCAGATATGCAGACGATACCACTCTAATGGCAGAAAGTGAAGAGGACCTAAAGAGCCTCTTGCTCAGGGTAAAAGAGGAGAGCTGGTTCAGGAGGCCAGAGGCTTCCCTTTTCTGTGTACTAATTATTGCTGCATTCCTTCTGTGCTTCTTCTCTGCTGTAACGCTGTTATCTCTAAGATATGCAGGTGGTGTAGTGTCTGGAGCTCAGGGAAGACCGTGGGAGCGCTATCGGTTCCCAGCTCTGGCTCTAACGGTCTGGAGCTATTCTCCCGTGCGCGGGAGTCCGGTTAATTGGCTTGGGGAAAGGGGGGTGCATACGAATGCCCTATATCCCATTATGCTTGTAGGGGTGATGCCATTCTTGCTTCTGTTAATGCATCTATAGCTCTTCAATAAAGTATAACCTTTCTGATAAGCGTGTGCTCCGTTGTTGGCTGTGGAACCTGACAGAATTTTATATGCAAAATATTGGGGAAAAAGAAAAGACACCAACAAAGGAAGAACTAATTTTCCGGCTGTTAGATGCAGCAGAAATGGACAAATTAACTTTACAATTACATGAAAAACAAGAAGGGAACTTTGAAAGAAAATGGGCAAGATTTTATAGTTGGATGCAAAATTATCTTGGAGAACTCAAATCATGAATCTCAACAAAAACCTTATAGACGCAGAAACTAATAAAAACTGTTTATAAAAAAAAAGTTTTAGTCAAAGGGAGAGGAAGTAACAAGCAAGTTGGAGTTGACGGATCCCTTTCACGAATGGCAGCACTTCCCTCTGGTGCAAGGAGGAAGAATCAATGGAAGGTTCCTAGCACTAGAGGTATGTTCCCTCTGAGCTGTGGAGTCTTGTGAGCAAAAATGCTACTTTTTGAGCTACTGGCATTAAAGTTGTGAGCAAGGCTCCCTCTAAGCTGTGGAGTCCTGTGAGCAAATATTCTACTTTGTGAGCTACTGGCATTAAAGTTGTGAGCGAGCGATTTGGCTGCTGCATGAATTAGTTTGCTCTGGAGCCATCCATCCTGAGCTAAGACAAAAATCTGTGAGCCGGAGGCTAAAAAACTGTGAGCTAGCTCACACTAACTCAGCTTAGAGGGAACACTGGTTGTGAGCAAGCAATTTAGCTACTGAATAAGTTAGTTTGCTCTGGAGCCATCCTTCCTGAGCTAAAACAAAAATCTGCGCTCGAGGCTAAAAAACTGAGCTAGGTCACACTAACTCAGCTTAGAGGGAACACTGGTAAGCACCATCACTAGCAATATGGATCCACGGGTCCCGATCTGTGGCTTCCGTGGACAGCATCTCAAAGACACAGAATGTAGTGTAGAGCCCTAAACTTAGTTGAACATATATAATTGTAGGCAAATGTCAATGGCAGGTGTGATATTTATTTCAAATTATATCCTGCACCTGCCCGCCATAGCGGGCTCAGGACGGCTAACAGCATACATACATTAACATTCCAGTATGCAGGGGTCATTTCCTGCAGGAGCGCACAGGAGCGGAGCTCCAGCAGTAAAGAGCCCAGGGGGCGGGCACATGCAACAAGCCCCCCCCCTGCTCCCAGCAACCCTCAGTCAGAGCAAGAAGCAGCCAGGTAAGCTGCAGAGCCCCCCCCCGGGCCCTCCAGTCCAAAACAGTCCAGTGGCACCTTTAAGACCAAGTTTTATCCAGGTACCAGCTCTCCCTCCTCTGCGAGGACAGATCTGCACGTCCCCCATCCCCCCAATAGCTAGCAATCCAAAACAGTCCAGTGGAGCCTGAGCGGTGGGTGTTGCCTTCTGACACACCTCCGGTGATGTCAGGGGGTGTGGCATATGCAAATAAGTTATGTTAATGAGCTCCCGCACCTCTTTTTCTACGAAATGACCCCTGCCAGTATGTATAATAAAATAATATTAAATTAAGATTACAATATAAAACACATAACCATAGTACAAGATGGCGTCATTCTATCATCGTTTGAGTGGCCGCCTCCATGCAGAGAGGTATCACAGCCTGCTAACCCTAAAACAACTTCTCACCCGCAATGACAAACTACTTAAAGAGTAACATGGACTCTGGTACCAAGGCCTGCCACAAACCAAGATGCCCTCATATAGATCCTGGCAACACCATCAGTGGACCCAGCAACATCAGCCACACCATCTCAGGTCCATTCTCCTACTCACTCTCTAATGTGATTTATGCCATCACATGTCAGGAATG